TAGCTTAACCCAGGAGGAGAGAAGGAGACCCTGAACTGAAATTGAGCTTTTGGCACATGGAGAAGATAAGCGAAAAATCAAAGTACATGTCTTGCACCCCTGAGTTTTGTGGGCTAAGTATTCTCTAGACTTCATCTCCTGCCTCCCTTTCTCCCTTCCCCTGGAGCCTTTGCTGGATGTTGGGTACTCAGACGGTTTTCAAGGAGGCTTTCTCAGGGTAGTCCAGAGGCAAAGATCCCCAATGCCAAGGCCAGCCTAGGTATAACAGCGTGACCTGCCTTCAAGGACTCCCAAGAGTTGGACAATGCCCCATCAACAGAGCCGGGATGGACCGTCTCCCTGTGGTCCAACTGCCTCAAACTGCCAGAGACTTTTGAGCAATGAGAGGTGGAGGGAGCCCAATAAAAACATTGAATTTCTGACCCACCTGGCCAGATGGGAGCTCAGAACAGATTCAAATCAGGTTTACAGAAATATAAGAAACATAATCATCTCTTGAACCCAAATGTTGTGGTGGATGTAAACTTATACCTGACATGTCTGCCTATCTCATCAACAAAGGTTTTTGTTTTGTTTTTGAGGGGACAGGAGGAAAAAAAGCTGTAAGATTCTCATTTTCATTTTAATAGAGTTGTCTCCTTCATAAGCGGCAATGATAGTGTTGGACAAAACCCTCTCAAACTGGGCCAGCTTCCCTATGAGAGGATCACACTCTGAAGTTCTGGAGATTTGAGTCTCCTCAGGGTCTGCAGGATATCCCTGGGCTCACTGGGCCAAAGGGAGGAAAACGTGTGGTCTTTGAAGCCAGCTCTAGGTTCTCACTTCGTGTCTGCCCTTGATAGCTGTGTGACCTTGGGCATGTTTCTTTACTTCTCCGAGCCTCAGTTTCCTCACCGGGTACACGTGGATAATAATAACATTGACTTCACAGGATGCTTGTTAGATGGGAAGAGGTGATGTCTACACAGCACTTAGCTTTGTGTCCGGTATATGCAATGAGAGCTCAACAGACGGCAGCTGTTGACGTTGTTATAATTATTACCGTTCATTGCTCTGGAAAGCCTCTAGTGGGGAGGATGTTTTAACCCTGCTGCCTTTCTCCAGATCCCTTACTCTGACACCCACAGGAAGGCTTTAGGATGTTTTCATTCCACTTGGTGCAGACCCATTAGGGCTGCTGGCAAAACTGGATGGGACATTAGGTGTCAAGTCCAATCTCTTCACAGATTCAAGGGGTGAAATATGTTCAGGACTGCGGTGCAGGAGTCCCAAGCTGCCAGCAGTAACCTTTTCCATGATATGAATGACATCAGGCTGGCCCAGCACATTGAAAACCACCAGCTTCCAATTATCCTCCGGCCGAGCTCCCAGTGCTTCCTTTTGGGGAAGCTGAAAAGTAATCATAGTTATCATTCTAAATTGCCACCTTTTCTATTGATTTCCACATTATCATAGCACAAGGGGGCTCGGCCAAGAACTTGGGTTGAGACTCATTATTTCTACTGTGTATTGTTAGTGATTTTCTCCTCTCATGAAAATAGGGACCATGTGTGTTGGCAAAAAAAAAAAAAAAAAAAAAAGAAAGAAAGAAAGAAAGAAAAAAAAAAGGCGGAAGCCTTAATAACAAAAGAACTGCCTTTCATATTGTTTCGGTTTGATGGCCCATCTCTCTGCTGTGTTCTCCGTTCTTTTCCAGTTTCCGGTGGCCTGATTTTTCAAGAGTATAATGCTGATGTTTTTGCCCTTCTTGGCACAACTGCCAACCCCAAATTATAACAAACAGAACGATCTAGGTCTTCATATGTGCTAAAAATAAGAAATTTTTTGATGGTTTTGTTAAATTGAGGCATCATGGATGTGGATTCCATCAGCAGTTGGAAGACTCATCCTGGTTGTTTTTTCTCTCTGAAACCAGACCTCTTTATGGATCCCTGGAAGCTGGCCTCCAACCCAGAGCCAGATTCTCCAGCTGTTCTTGAGAATCATCTTTAACCAGAAGTGGGGCTTCTCTGGGACCCTCGGGTGGGGCATCCGGAGCATGCTTTTAAAGGAATTTAACAGAGCAGGAGGAGGAATAGGAGTAGTGTCAGCACAGTCAGGAAAAGGGATATAACTAGTGGAATTCTGTGAAAAGGACAGGATATTTTTATTATAATGACTACCATCTCTCAGGCAATTTGAGGTGCTAGGCATCATCTGAAAGCCCTCTGACAAACATCAGCAAACAAGCAGTGGGTGCTCACCAGGTGCAGGACCGTGCCAAGCATTTTACATGAATGATCACTTCATCCTCACCGTGGCCCTCTCATCACCACTATTTCATGGCTGAGGCATCTGAGGCTCAGAGCTGTAGCCCCAGGCTAAGGTCATTTAGCTGGTGTGTGCCATTCTACTCTGGACTGAGGGAAAATCCAGGCACAGGGTCTGTGTATGGAGATCAAGAAGGATGAACCAACAAAACTGAGGTCAGTGTGAATCAATACAGAACAGAGACAGGTGATTTTCCCAGGGGACAGACACTGAAGCACTGCTTATAAATGTGGTGAGATCAGGGTGTTTTCTCAATCTCAGTGAGAAAAATCTCTTCTTTCCCCCATAAGGGTGGGTACCAATTTAGTGGACAATCAGAAAGTTCTAATTGTGCAAACAGTAACATGATGGCCAAAGGGAAGTATTTTATTTATTTTTTTTTAATGTTTATTTATTTTTGAGAAAGAGAGACAGAATGTGGGTGTGGGAAGGCAGAGAGAGAAAGAGAGGGAGACATGGAATCCAAAGCAGGCTTCAGGCTCTAAGCTCTCAGCACAGAGCCCAACACAAGGCTCGTATCCACGGACTGCGAGATCATGACCTGAGCCAAAGTTGGACACTTGACCAACTGAGCCACCCAGGTACCCCCAAAGGGAAGTGTTTTAAAGTTGATGGATTTGTAAGGCTCAGTGAGAATTAATCTGACTCTTTCTGGAAAAAAAGGATGTTTGGACTTCAACTGAGGAGAGCATGTGGCTCCAGAGTTGTTGACACACTTCCGGAAGGCAGAGCTATTCAAACATACCCAGCAAACCTCCCTGATGGCGGAGGCTAAGTCATATTCTTAAGATCTGGGCATTGCCCCAAAGTCTTCTATTTTAGCTTAAAAATTATTTGAAGAATTTTGCATCGTATTCTACCCATATCTCAGAAAATGGGATGTAAAAAAGATGGCTGGTGTTTACTTATGTCCTTTATTGCCTGTACTCTCCAGATTTGTGGATCAGAGACTGAGAAGACGGCTCCAATAATAACCAGCTCTCCTGACAATGTCTTACTTTCCTTAGACTGACTTTTACCTAACGAAAGACCACACTGACCAGCAAATGGAAGTATTCTGGCCTCTGTGGTCACCCAGCTTCTCACTGCAGGTTTGTAAGTTCGAATCCTTAATAGCAAATCAGTTATTGTGAGTGTAATCGGTGTTTGAGTCAAATTCCCAGTGGCTGGTCACTGTGAAGTGAATAGAAACAGAAATTCTGCACTTCCCAACCTAAGGACAAAGCCTTGCAGTGATGATAGCCCCAAGCAAACACAGCCGCCCCACCCCAGATCTTCAGTCTGTCCTGTTCAACTCAGCCAACAGGAAAGGTAAGGCTAGACACAGACATTCAAGGACAGAAGGTATGAGGAGCAGTGTCAAGGGGAGACATCTCAGTGACTTGGAGGAGAGGAGAAATCTGGAGCAAAGGAGAACAATAAAGAAATTCACACTAATGTGCAGGCTATGTAGTTATGTAGCATAACAGCAATTTATTAAGTGCCTGTGTGGTGTGGACCGTGGAGGGTAGGGGTGTGAAATCATCACAAGGCTCCGCAGGCCCACAGATTTCCCAAATAGTCTACTGCAAATGAAAGAGGCAATGCAACATAGCACAAGGGAGAACAGCATGCCGGTTAAGCACATGGGCTCTGGAGCCGGACACAGCTGGCTTTGGGTCCCAGCTGTGCCCCTTCCTGTCTGTGTGACTTGAGCAAGTGTGTAACCTCAGTTTCCTCATCTGTAAAATAGGGACAAAACAAGTACCCGCCTCAGTGGCTTGTTGTAGTAAGGACTAAATAAATGAGCTAACATACATATGATCAATACCTAATGACTAAAACACTCAAAAAATGTTGGCTTTTGTTATGTAATTACATATCACAATGACAATTTATAAAGCTCTATTAATGAGTAACCCTTGGGGATGGGTCATGAACTATTACAAGGATGGAATCTGTACATGCACATTGCATTGTTTATTATGGTCTGTGGCTTATCCATCTTTTAAAAAAGATATCTGTAGATGCTATGGTAATGAATGAGACGCATCCTAATTAAAATTGTTGTTTAAATTATGGAAGCTTTTAGTCACTGGGTGCTTTCTCAGATATGGAAGTGCAGTTACCACTAAATGAAATAATCACGAGTGACACCGTTGCAGCATCTGTGCCTGGCATTCTTATAAGTGCCTCAGATATATCATCTCGCTTAATCTTTACAACAACCCTAGGAAGTTGGTTATCTTGTTCATTTCAGCGGTAGAGAATTTAAATGATGTCTCCAAGGCTAGTGAGTGGCAGGGCAGGGATTCGAAGTCAAACCACCTGCCCCCTGAGCCTCTGCTCTGAACCACCAGGCACATGGCCCCTAACATGCAGCTTTGCAATGTGTTCTGACATTTCCTCACACTTGGAAATGCAGGAAACCACCAGTGCATGAAGAATGAGGTCAACCCTTTACAGGAGGGACAGTAGAAAAGGAAACTCATTCTAAAATGTACTATGGTTTGATGTAAGGGCTGTCTGTGTGCTTGTGCCCACAGGCTTAGGCTTGGATCATGGGTGGAGGACGGGATGAGGGTCCAGAAAAGTATGTCTCAAAATCCCAAGGTGATTTACCACTAGAAGCTCCCACTCTGAGACCCCTGTCATAACACCCTGGGCAGAGCTGACCCGATGGTGGCAGGTGGATGGGACGTCGGACTTACCGGTCGAGGCAGACTGTACTGGTACATTTCTGGGCGATAGGTGGGTACCCACTGCACCCCTGCCCTGGGCCGCGTCATGGTCCCTGGAGCACTGGTCACAACCTCCGAGTAGGGCAGGTGCTGTGCTGAGCCGTAAGCCTCCTGGTGCCGGCTCTGGCCCGCGTGGCCTGCAGATGCCAGGCTGAAGGCCTCCTCCAGTAGCATGTGCATCTGCTGCCTGACCTCATCGATGGAGGGCTGGGAGCTCAGTGTGGAGGTCTCCGAGTGACCTTTCATCTGCCTTGATCGGGCATAGCCCCGGGGCTCATTCACTCTGTCGATGTTGGTTTCCTCTATGATCTCAGGCTCAGTCTGTGGGATCAAACACACGCCCATGGATTTGTTAATGAACTGTCCTTCCCATTAATGTTGTCTGTACTTACTCTAAAATGTTCAGCTTGGACATGTGATATTAGGTGAAGTGTTCATTTATGTTATCTCCTAGCTGCCCATCTGGAACTCACGCACAGGGTGGGTCAGCTAGCATTATGTTAGTAAGGTCACACTCCAGCTATCCATGCGTACCTCACTTTCCCATAGCTCGAGCGATGCAGCAGGCTTTGCTAACTGGCATAAGGATGATGAGAAATGGCTTTTCATTGACAACATTAATGATAATCTCTAAAACCTTGTAGAGAGATTCTCCACCCTCATGCATTTTAGGTAAAATAATCTAGAGTGTCTGGCAGTCTAAGTGTTGGTGCTCTAGACTAAACTCTAAATGGTCGCGTGTCCAGCCATGTAGGGGACTGCCGGTTGCCTGATACCAATTATCAGAGAAAGCAACAAAATCCTGCCTCTAGATCACTGATCTCAAAGTGCGGTGCACACTCTGGGGCAGGGTCCAGCAACCTGTGCTTTAGCAAGCCCTCTAGGAGATTCTCACGCCTGCTCAAGTTTGAGACCGGCTGATCTGGAATGTTCCCCCGCCTTCTTCCTGTGAACCTTCCATTTAGGGAGTAGCCGCAGTACCTAAGTGGGCAGAGGCTGGGGCGTCATGAGCTTCCAGAGCAGGCTGCATGGACTGCCTTATGCTCACCTGCAGATGAATGCTTATTCAATGAATCTGCCTGTGTCTTTGGTCTCTTGGTCTGAGACTTATTTTTGTGATACCCTGAAAGTGAGGCTGTAGGAGAGCAGTTAATCCACGTTCACTTCAAGCGTGTCCGTGGCTACTATTGTCTTCTAAAAGACTCGAGCGTTCTGGGAGAATAAATCAGCACAGATCAGTTTGTCATTCTGCTGTCCATCCGCGACATAAGTGACACATTGTCACTTTAGCAAAATTAGACAATACAGATAAGTAAGAGGGGGAAAAAAGTCTAAAAATCCATTAACCTTTGGTGTACTTGTTCTACTCCTAAATCTATCCGGGTGTGCATGTAAACTTCTCCATACACACATACCCATTTAAAAAGATGTATGTATTGGGGCGCCTGGGTGGCTCGGTCAGTTAAGCGTCCGACTTCGGCTCAGGTCATGATCTCACGGTCTGTGAGTTCCAGCCCCGCGTCGGGCTCTGTGCTGACAGCTCAGAGCCTGGAGCCTGTTTCAGATCCTGTGTCTCCCTCTCTCTTTGCCCCTCCCCTGTTCATGCTCTGTCTCTCTCTGTCTCAAAAATAAATAAACGTTAAAAAAAAATAAAAAAAAAAAAGATGTATGTATTTATATCCTAGTTCTGGGTATTTATTATTATTTTACGTGGAATGAACATTCTCCTACCGGCGTGCCACAATTTAACAGCTGTGTGACCATTGGCAATGTCTTAGCTTAGGTTCCTCCAAAAGGCAGGACCTCAGACTTATTTTATATGCAGATTATTTATTTTGGAAAACAATTCCAGGAAATAGGACTTGGGGCCTGGGATGAGTAAATTGAGGGAAGGAAAAAAAGCCAATTAAGGGTGGGCACTAAATTCATGATTGCTGTGGGCAATTGAAGCTTAATCCCACCAGGACGCTCCCAGGAACCAAGCAGAATATGCTTTAAGATTGTAGAACAAAATTTTGTCTACCAGTCCTCAGCCCCCATCAGTCAAGAGTTCCTCTAGAAAGTGTCCTTGTACTCTGAGATCTGTGCAGGTGCCAGATCGGTGCAATGGGCTCCCATGGGTGTCCCACGGAACAGAGATGGAGAAGCCCCAGGGCAGAAGCAAAAGCCAAGGGATCGTTAAGGTGACATGGTCAAGTTATTGCTGGGTAGGGTAGAGGCTGCAGCCAGGCCAGATCTAAAAGGTGTGCTGAGAAGATAAAAGACAGGGCATGAAAGATTTTCCAACGTGCAAAGTTACTTAACTTCCTGTTGCTTCAATTTCCTCATCTGTAAAATGAGGATAATGGCGTCTACCTCCAGGGGTCTTACAAGGATTAAACACAATGATACACACAAAGTTTAGAACAGTAGCATATGGTGAAACACAGGAATAGTAGCCACCGTCATCACCATAACTGTCATTATTATTACTTTTATATATTCACCTGCACCTGTTTCTCATGTAATTACTATGCATAAACTGGATACATGAGATAGAGCATAAGAAAAGGTCACCAGGGAACTTGTTCATAAAGGGAAGTCTTTCCCTCCTTAAAATCTACATATGGAAGGTCAGCAATTTGTTATTTTCCCTGTTTATATGTATTTTAATGTTTATTTGTTTTTGAGAGACACACACACACACACACACACACACACACACACAGCATGAGTGGGGGAGGGCAGAGAGAGAGGGAGACACAGAATCTGAAGCAGGCTCCGGGTTCCAAGCTGTCAGCACACAGCCCAACTCAGGGCTTGAACCCATGAACCATGAGATCATGACCTGAGCTGAAGTCGGATGCTTAACCGACTGAGCCACCCAGGCGTCCCTATTTTTCCTATTTTAAAAATGTTATTTACTTTCCTTTAGTCTTAAATTAATATAAGTGCATTAGAGAAAAAATAGAAAATACAGAAAACACAAAAAAGGAGACATTTCCTCTAATTGTATCACCCAGAGTTAAGGCTTAGCCCTAGTTCAAGATCAAAAGATGAGGTTCTCTGTCAACCTTCAATTCTAGATTTGTCAACAACCATCTATAGTATGAATTGAGAATACTATTTTGATATGAACACAGGTAAAAATAGGTTCTGGAGTAGAAGGCAAAATTACTTTTGCCATAATAAACAAACTCCTAGACACTTCATACCTGGGTGCATGCCCCCGTGGGGCTCTTTTAATTGGGGATCTTTAGGAAGAGGTTTGAGATCGCTTTCCTGGAAATGTGCTCCCCGAAGGCTTGGGGATTCCTTCCAGGGTAGTGAATGCAACTTCTGACAAAAATTTTCTTCACAATGCATAGAACATTCTGGATAGAATTTCAGACCCTGGAAGGACTTGAGGAGACCATTTAAATCAAACCCTATTTTACAGATGAGGTAATCAAGGCCAGAGTGTTTAAGTGACTTATCCAAAGTCACCCAGGTGGGCAATGGCAGAGCCTTGTTCTCTCAGCTCCTGGCCCTTGCACATCCTGCTGCACCGCATTGTCTCTCACATTTCCCTGTCAATACTGGTTGCTACCCACACATTGCCCTTCCTCCCTACATCCCCGTCTCCCTAATAAATAATGGATGCTTAATGCTAAACTACTCCCAGGTGGAAGATTAATGGCACTGGGGTGAGCTATGATTTTTCCCACCCCTGAGTTGTGCTATGCATTTTCAGTCATATTGGTAGATCTATTATGTGAATTTATAGTTGTGCCTTAAGTAGGACAAAAATACACTTCTTAGCAACGACTCTCCACTCTGAGGCTCTCCCAGGAGCCCTGGGGGGGTGGGGGGGGGGCTGTGCTGGCTTGGCGGGTTGGTTCTCTGAGTAATACTGTTGGGGAGAGATAACCTTGGCTGAGGAAGTGGAGACACTTTCTCCAGGCTCCCACTGCATCCACCCCACAGTACTGCAACAGGGTTTGCATTTCATATGGGACAGGGCTTCCCTTTAACGGGAGGGCCCACAGTTATAACCCAAGTAACTTCGATACGTTTGTTCCAGCCTCCTATTTTCCCACTCTTCTCACTTGGTTTTTCAGTCTCTTGACATCTACCAATGGAAACAAGACAAACTCTCATTATACCCTGGGATGCCCCCTCATCACACTTGTATTTGCTTATTTAATGTCTGTCTTGTCCAAGTCTGGACACTCCCCGAGCCCACTTACCTCTGTCTCTTAGGAGCTTAGCATCAGATACTTGGAATACCCAAAACAGCTTTGTGAAATTAAACCAATATGAAATCCTGTCTAACTGCCCATGGGGTATAACTTGAGGTTATGTTAAAGAGCCCACATTCCTAACACATTCATTCGAGTGCTGATGAGCTGTATGACCACAGGCAAGTCACATGAAATCCCTAAGCCTCAGTCTCCTCATCTATAAAATGGGGGAGTTGATCTTTAATCTGTGAAGGACCTTGTGGTTCTCACAGGCCTTGTGGAGGGCCTGGGTTCCTCCTACTGTCATCATTCTGGGGGAATCCGATGTCTACTCATGAAGGGAATACCCTGCCAACCTCCTTCCCCACCTTGAAATATGTGAGAAGTGATAAATTTGCTCTTTTACTTAACAGACAATTATTATTTCACCTAGGTCCTGGGTTGAGAGTTGTGGATACAGCAATTAATAAGATAGTGACCTAGCCCTCAAGGAGTTCCCAGTATATAGGAGGAGACAAATAACAAGGACAACGACAACAAAAATAGCAGCTAACAGTTATTCACAGCTTATGTGCCAGACACTGTTTTAAGTGCTTTATATATATTTCATTTTTTCTTTCAGTAATCTATGAGGTAGCAACTGTGATTCTTCTTATTTTACAGATGAAGAAATAGATCATTCAATATGTTGCCTATAACTGGCAGATTACCCTTTGTACATATCTAAATAGATCCATTACCTTACCACAGAAATGGGCTCTGACAGAGGGACAAACAGACTTCGGTGACCAGGAAGACAGACTATACAATAATTACCGAGACAATACAATAATTATCTCATAGATTACTAGAAAGATGGAAAACACCAATATATAGATATAAAGCTCTTCTAAGAGTGTCTGGCACATCAGCATTTGATAATTATTAGCTTCTATCATTATTGTTATTTCTTCATCCCATAGATTGGGAGTGCCTACAGGGTTGAGCCCACATCTCATCCTTATGTCCACAGCCTCCATCCCAGGGCCTACCCCAAAGCCGGAACCAGGAATTGCCTTCCGAGTGAAAGAACTTAACATAGCACGTGCTCAAATGTACTTGAGGACCAGTAATGGGCCA